GCGCGGGGCCGGGGCGAGGGCGGCCGTCGATGGCGGGCCACGTGCTGCATCCGAGTCCCGCAACGTGCCTCGGGACAGAGCGGACAAAGCCGTCAGACTGGCGACCATATCCGCCCCTCCACTCTTCTCAACATTCCTCTTCATGTTGTCTTTTTCCTCGACATAGCCCTTCTCCCCATCCTCCTCGTCTGCCCACGCTCAGTGGTGCGCCCCCTTTCCCCGCGCGCCCTGACCCATCTCCTCATCCTTCTCGGGTCTCCATCCCGACTTGCCTAATTCCGTATCCCCTTCTCGACTCATTCTCTATAACACCCCCCAGGCAGCATAACCCTTGCCTTTCCCATCCTCGTCCTCCTAGCACCGCTTAGGAGCATGCCTGTTCCACCCACCCTCACCAGCTATCTCCCCGCCCTCCTCGTTTCGGTCACACACTCCACCGCTCCTGACGACTCTTCTTTTTCCACCCTCCCAGACGGCCAGGTCGACTACCTCTCCCATGAATGGAGAGAGGAGGACGTATGGCGCTCATGGCGCAACATGACTCGCCAGAAGAACGCGATTGCCAACGGTATGCGCCTCGAGAACGCCAGTTGGCGGACGTGGTGGAAGCAGAGAAACAAACTCAAGACAATCAGCCCAGAGACGCTCAACTGGTACGTGTCTCCTTTCACATTTCTCTCCCCTCATCCCCCTATCGGCGCCAACATGAGGTGTCAGTACTGTACCCACCACCCCGTGGGGAACCGTCGCCACTCCCTTCCCCATGTGCTTTTTTCCCCTCCCCGTTCTCGCGTGTCCTTCCTAATCTTGCCCGACTCATGCTGGGACGATATTGCAGGCTGAAAGACTCGGATGTAACTTGGCTCTACGGCCCCCTTCACATCGGCTCCGACTGGTCGCCAGTTTCACACAAGCAGCCATCATTGCACCTGCAAAGGCAGAACAGCGCAGGTAATGTGTCGACCACCGACACGTGTGGCGTCGTCACCATCCCCAAGAAGCCTATCCTCAAGCGGCGAAGCATCAGCCAGCTGTTATCACTTCCTGCCAGTCCGTTCTTCGAACAGGTCGACTCTGACGACGAAAGCGCCAGTGGCGTGCGCGGAGGGCCGCAGCGGCCTCCACTGCTGCACACCAAGAGCGACACGCATATAAGCTTACGCGGGCGGGCACATCGCAAGGATTCGCCACCACGGATAATAGCGGAGGATGCAGTGCCGCCATCGCCGCTGGCCGCTACGGAGTCGAGCGACGCCTCAAACTCGACAAGCAGTGACCAGGACACGAGTGGCCATTCGAGTGGCGCTGGCGAAGGCTCTACTGGCGAGCCTGGGGCCATGAAGAAGAAGCACATTAGCTTCAACACCTTTGTAGAGCAATGCATCGCGATCGAGAAGCCCTCAGCTAGGCGCCTAAACATGAGCGGTCGCCGACGATCCCCCGTCCTCGGTTACGACGACGGGTCAGTTTATTTCTTTCGCTAGTGGCCTGTACTACACTGAATCATCCCATCCCCCAGATACGATGAGGACTCTGAGGTCAGCTATGACGACGGCTATGACTCCCCGTCAGCTTACTTCCTCGGTGCTCGCCGAGTCCTTAACTCAGACTCAGAGGAGGACGACGACGACGATGTCATTGAAATGCGCACGGCCTCTTCGCGCTCTCGAACGTCATCTGTATCCAGCGTTCATCATGGCTTAAGACCTTCTACGGAGAGTGATGTGCCGCTGACACCTCATCCACGCTTCAGACCCCCTTTGGTGCGGAGATCGTCTACAAGCAACGACCATGTCACCATCGCTCCCATCGCTCCCACCCTTCTCAAGAGCACGGGCGTCGGCAACAATCTCATGACCGCGGGTGTTGGTCGAGTTGCGGCTGCCACGAAAGAAGTTGAGCTCGTATACGTTCCGCCAATGAACAGCAACTACAGTTTACCCGGCACACCCAACTTGGCAAGTCCACCCGCCGAGGATGTATACCATCACAGAGAGTCGTATTTCAGCGTCGGCACAAGTTCGTCACCGCAGTCACAGTCACCCTCTCTGTCTCCACGCATACCGACTGTCGGCGTGCTTCCGCCTCCACATTTGTCGTCTTCGCCTCCGCAGTATGATGGTCTCTCGTCCAAGTTTTTCCCGTATCAGCCGGCGGCTTCCTCGCCTCTCCAGGTTGATCATCTTGGTGACGCCAACGATACTCTCGAATACTTTGAGGGTCCCATTCTCGAGCGGAGGGGCAGGGGAAGTTCGCGGGATGGCGCTGGCAACCCTACAGAAGGCCCAATGCGATACGCAGAAGGCGGCGCGGCAAGCGTTACCACCGGGCGGAGTAGTGGGAGTTTCTCGCCCGGCCACAGCCCAGAAACGCCCGTCGTCGTGGTGAACGAGGTAAACGGCGCCACTGAGGAGCGGACCGAGTGCTCTAGAGAGAATAGCCCGCTGTTGGCCAGTGGTGTCATATCGGAGAGCCCTATCATTGAGACTTCGTTCATCCACCCGCCTTCACCCGCTGTACCCGTCCCTCGGATCGGCCCAACGCACCCCCACATTACATTCTCGCCTCAGGTGACGGAGTCTGTGCTCTTATCGCCAGATGACATCGTATGTCGCGGGCGCGCGCCTGCGCCTTCTTCCGTCAGCGGATCGACAACCTCGGGGTCGACCAACTACACGCGCTCGACGGACTCGCGCTCCGAGTCGCGCGGACGTTCGGCCACACGCAACTCGTTCTCAGACCGTGATCGCTCGGGGTCGCGCTCGAGTAGGGGGACGAATTCGCCCATGGGTAGCCTCTCTCCGACAGGCTCAGTGCTCGGGATCGCTGGATCACATGGCAGAGGCCGAGACCCTCAGAGCAAGAGTGGCCGCAGAGTAAGCAGCGACGAGGTCGAGCGCGGCCGCGACCGTACAGGTCGCCAACTTGCTGTCAGCCGCAGTCCACCGAGCCCGATGGACTCTCCGACGCGGGCGCACCAGACAATGGGTGAGTATCAGGCGTATCCCGCCAGTCTGCTCGACGTGCCCCGGCAATCTGCGGAGCCATCGTCGCCGCCTTCGTCCGTGTCCGGGTCGTCCACAGCTAGCACCGCGACCGCGCGGCAGCAGACGTATGACACCCCGGTGGCCGTTCCCCCGAGGATATCGCTACACCTCCCATCTGCCGCTGGCCCTGCACTGCCCATCCCGTCGCCTATCATGGAGGAGGACGAGCAGCGGTCGTTGTACCCTACGCCCGCGAGCTCGCCCGTCCGTGCTGTCAATCCGATAACCGTCGCCCCGACTAACCCCGCGTCGCCCTTGCAAGACAAGGCCGTCGTCGAGTCGCCACCTTCGTCAGTGTCGCTCGCTTCCCCGGACTTGAAGACGCCGCCGAGCAGCCCTGTTCCAATACCGCGCTCTAAGGACCGGGTCCCCAGGGCCGCAGAGGGTCCGCAGGAGCAGCCAGGCACGTTCGTCGGGCGCGCCGTCGATATGGTGTCGTCCGCGCGCGGATTCTTCGGCTCGATCTGGAATACGGGTGCCGCATGAGGCGCCGCGCCCGCTGGCTGTCCTACCCTGCTCCGTACCTCCTGCGTCGCCAGAGCACCCCGTTTGCTATCCGTCATCCACCTACCCTATACAAACCACGTCGCAGTCTGCGCATGGCTCCGCCTCGTCATCGTCTGCACACATCAACTTATTTACATATATGCATTATTCGGCTGATATCCCGTCCCCGGCCTGCTGTGTTGTCCCTTCTGGTCTCTGGCCCTGTTGCATGATCAACTTTCGCCCCCTCCTCCCCTTCTCCGCGTAAATCGTACTCACCTTGAACTTAATGTGGCATGTGTTCCCTGCATTATTGCATCCCGCATCCTGCCGTTACGTGTACATTCGTATTCATTTCTATATAGTACATTCTGCACTCGCCGGGCGGTCTGCTGCGCGGCGTGCACGGTCTCTGGCCGCACGTCGTGTGCCCCCTTTCCCCCGCCCTTCTTGCCCACCCCCTCCCCCTTTCGCGCTCGTCGTGCGCGCTTTTCGTTGCTGTTGTTTCGCGGTTTGCGTTTGGACATAGTCACGGTGGGCGGCCGGCGGACGGCCCATAGTAGTAAATACGGTACAGCTGCGTACATAGTGTCTGCGGTGCGCGTGCGCACCCACATGTCGTCGCATGGGCTCGTGTATTTTCGTAGCCATCTTGTTTTTCATAGATGTATGTTGCACAACGCAATCGAGTGTCTATGCTCGGCTTGGGTGTGGCGTGTCTGGAGGAGCGCGCCGGATGAATCGGTCTATTCGTCAGGCCCGCAGTGGGACTTGGGTGGGGTGGCAAAGACACGTTTGGGGACGAGGCCAGGGCATGTGGTAATGTAGACCCACGAGTGGCGCGTCGCTCTTCAAGCTTAACTAGCTCGTCGTGCGGACGGCCAGTGGCGAACTGACTTCAAGTGCTGAATTCCTTTTAGCGTAATATCAGGCTACTTGTTCTGGGTCAGGCTCCAAGCGTTACGTTACCAGGGATCCATAAACGGTTGAGTTCTGTCGCTATTCCGCTGTGAACGCTGACTTGCCTCTCGGTCCGCGAGCAGATCTCGGTAGATGTCTGGCAGTCTTGCATACGTTGCTCAGGTACGTCCGCAACTGCAAAGCATTTAGAAAGCTCGCTGACGGGAGAGCTGCTTGGCCGTACTGGCCCAGAATGATTTGTGAGTCTGACCCTCTGAGTTCAAGTCTCGCCCCCCAGTTTAATCGTCCCGATGCCGATGTCATCTTGCGGTCGTCGGATGGGATCCGCTTCCACGTCCATCGCCTCGTCCTCGTGATGGCTTCGCCTTTCTTCGAGGATATGTTTCATTTGCCAGTTCCTCACAATGAAAACCAGTCAGATCGGCCGATTATCGATGTATCCGAAGACAGGGCTACACTCGACATACTCCTCCGGGTTATTTATCCCGTCGCCGATCTACTCGTAACCACGGTAGACCAGGCGCGTCCTGTCCTGGAGGCGGCGCTGAAGTATGACATGATTGCTGTCAAACAATTCGCGATGCGGATGTTAGAGACCTTTCTTCCAGCGGAGCCTCTGCGCGTGTATGCCATCGCCGCGCGACATGGATTGGTTCACCTGGCAAAGGCGGCTGCGATGGAGGCGGTGCGGCAAAATACCGTTCCAGGTGTCTATGTCCCCGAATTCGAGAACTTGCCCGCGGGCTGCTATCACCGACTTTTGCAATACCAGCTGCGGTCCACCGATCTTACTACGTTTGACTTCTGTCGCCCTGAGAGTAACGCCACTCCTGCAGGGCCTTCGGGCGAGGTTGATTTCACGGAGCGCGACGCCCCATCCCCATTCGACGCGCTCGACGCCGATGTTGTGATGGTGGCCATTGACAATATGCGCTTCCACGTCTATGGGAAAGTTATTGCACTCGCGTCGCCTGTCTGGAGAGACTTAATTCAGAAAGAGTCTTTGGAAAATTCCCTCGATGACGACGCTCGCGCCGAACGTACGCCAATTGTGATCCAGATGAGCGAGCACAGCGATATTCTGTGGATGTTGTTGCAGCTCGTCTACCCTTCGGGCACTGCAGCTCCAAATGATCCATCCATATTACCCTCTTTATACGACGCCGCCGAGAAATACCAGATAGAACGCGCGTCCCACTTTTGTCTCCGGGAATGGGCGACGTTCGCGGCGCTCGATCCTCTTAGTTCCTACTTACATGCGTCTTCCCGCGGATTGAAGGAGCAGGCCATACATTCAGCCAGAAGCCTCTTGTCCCGCACATATCACGATTTGGTGAAAATATACGTGGGGACACTTGAGGCAGTTCCGACGGGCCCCTACTATCGCCTGCTGCAGTTTCACATAAAGTGCAGCCAGGCAGCTATAGTGTTCCTTGGCGGCCAGAAGTATAGAGAATTGGAAGCTTCATCCAGCTTTGACGTTGTGAAATGCAGTGACTCATGCAGCTATTCGTATAACAAACAGACCCCCAAATGGTATTCTCCATATGTGAACCGAGCTAGATACATCTTGGAAATACGGCCGTCTGTACCGGCATTCCGTCTGGAAACGTTCGAACTCGTAGTGAAGGAGATGAAATGTCTTTCCTGCATGATGCGTATAAAAGAGGTTCTCGCGTTCTGCTCAGCATTCGAGGATGCGGTGGATAAAGTCATTTCAGAGGTAAGCCGCTATGGTCGGACCATTACCCTTACGAGCGAAACTAATCCAATTCATCCTCGATGTAGGTTAGCACAGATATTTTGTTCAATTAACTTTTACCCGAGACTTGTGCGGGGGCACGTCGCGTGCAAAGCAAAGTTTGGGTAGTCGTTCAAGGTCCTATCGTCTCCGAGGTTTTTAATAAAACATTGATTAGCTAAAGCAAACTTTGTTCATGTTGTATTTCCCAGTTTCATGGATGTAGTATATAGCAAGCCTGCGGTATGTTTCGGTCGAGTTGGTCGAACTTGAATCTGTACGACCGGTATCAACCGGCATCGATGGTCCTCGTGCCAGTTTGAGCAGGGTTGACACTTCGAATTCGCCTCGGTCTCGTCCTTCCACCGCAAGTATTCGTGTATATCAGAATCTCAAGGGAATACAACCAATCGCTGTGTAGGAATACCTCAACCTTTCGCACTCTTTCACTGACGGGTACATATCATCGTCAGATTCACGCCAAGATCAATTAATATCGCGCCTGAGTATAGTACGTCTAAAGCTCATGTCTAGACGAGATGCGAGCTACTTGATTGATCTATTTGCCGTCAGAATGCCATCCGAAAAGCCAGTCACCGGGTTGGCCACAGCTCCATTCGATCGCCCCGATGCCGACGTGATCTTGCGGTCG